AATCTAAATTATTTTACAATAATTAATAAATTATTATTTCAAAATGTCTATTACGAGAGATGTACGAACGAATTTCTCGAAATATTCTCCATTACGATGGAAAGTATTTCACGAATCGTTTGTGACTCGTAATAGCATTTCTTGGCGAAATATTGATTTTTCACGGTCATATGTTATCAAATATGACAAACGTAATTCGAAAGAAAAGTTTAATATGTTTCAACATTCTTCGCACATTCCTTTTAACGAATTTTTTATTTGTAAATGTGGATCAGATAAAACGAATTGGCAAAAAGAAGCGTATCGACGAGAGTTTCAACCCCATCTATGGTACTATGATAAACGTCATCAGAGATCTTCTTGTCCATTTCGACGCAGATGTGATTATTTTAAACTTCTTCAATCTGTCAACAAATCTCTTCCTAAGAACGAACGTTTAATCAACATGAATAAGAAAGGTTCTTTGATGAGAATTAAAAAGATATTTCGCACCATAAAATTAGATTACGATATATATCTTTGGGTTAAAAATCTTAACGACACGGCATCTTCCATCTATAAACAGGAGAGTGAACTACTTCAAAATTTCAAGAAATCTATCTTTAAGCGAGCAAAAAAGAAGAAAATAAACATATCCGAAATTAAACCGATTGTCGAATCGCGTTTAACAGTTCTTAATCGATCTCCAGAATATCATCCTCAATCTCCAAATTTCTGTCTAGTATAAATATACCGGACAGAAAATTTTTTGTTCATCTTTTTTTTTATATTCATCTTTTTTTATTTATTACAATTAAAAATGGATTCTCAATTATCTTATCATTTTAATCTATTAATTTCTGCTGTTATCAATTTTCTTATTTCAATTAATAATATATATTTTCAACAACATTCTCATTCGACATCTTCTCCAAATTTATTCGATATCGAACAACCTCCTCCGAATTATACATCAAGACACGAATCTATTAACGATTTTCTCGAAAAGAATCGAAATATAAATAAATACAAATTTTTTTTAAAAGCAAATGATATCGATCGTATTAACACGAAACACCAATATATCTACGGTCTTAATGGTGGATCTTGTTGGAATTGTTACAATTCTTATTCGCATGAATGTTGTGC